ACGAGAATATAGATTAAAAGGTAATATTGTTCGAAATTCAGTTGTTCGTCTCTTTTGGAATTAATATCTATTAAAAAGTGTCATAATTTTCCATTATCTGAATCGGAGTATCTATTTTAATCTCTCTTTTTAGATGAAATACTCTACACTTGCAATTCAACTTGTCCTCACTTTGGTTCATATTCATTAAAAGAAAGTGAAATTAATGTAGAAAATTATAAAGTGTACACAGACTTCTTAATGTGTAACAGTTTCTTTTGTTAAAAAGATCTTAATTTCTTGACTTATCGCTACGCTCCAATTCGTAAGTATTAAATCATCAAATGCGTGGGAAGTGAATAAGAATTTTCATTAACGTTATATGTTTGTAACATTTTTCTTCTCTTGTATTATTAAAAATATGTTAACTACTACTTTTCTCTGATGATGCCTAAAAAGTATTAATCACATTCAATAATTTCGTGAAGGTGTTACAAGTTTACGTTAATATCTAATAAGCGTCCAAACACTTAGGAACGTGAGCGTATTGTGAATCACCGAAGGACAGCATAACCTTTATTATTCGTTTACCATGTTACGTCCCATAAATCACTGGTTAATATGAGAACTCATGACGTGCGCTGGTTTAATACGCCACACACCAAATCGGTATAATAGACTTTCGAGTGTGTGAAAGCGAATCGAGAACTGAATCGAGTGAAAGAGGGCTGTCGGTGCTGCAAAAATACTTCGAAGCGTGATGGAATTTGTTGTTGCGTACAGCACGATCAAAAAAATCCGACCGTTTGCTCTATTTGATCACTACTTCCCACTAACCCAATGATTATGAACACATCAAACTCAAAATCATCGTGTCTATAATTAGAAAGTGTTCAGAACGTCTATGTATAGTTTTAACGACTACAAATACGTAGAATTTTAAATTGAATCATTGCCCCTCTAATGTCCACGGAATATCTATAACTTCAATGTATTGTTTTAATAATATTCTGAAAAACAAGATGGTTCGTAGCATTTATTAATAATAAAAAAAAGGTTTGTGTTTCGTTCAAATCTGTAAAAAGGTTAAAAAAGGAGAGGTCAATTCTTTGATCAGAGAAAAATATGGATTTTCTAACGAAAAAAATGAGACATAATAATTGTACTTTTAAACAATATTTATCAAACAATCGAACAATCAAAGCATAAGGGTAAAAAATGCAACGAGATCTTTTTGTCAAACTAACATTATCCCTGTAAACTAGTTAGCTGTTGCCACGTCTTTGAAAAGTGTGTACCTAAAATGTGTCGCAAAAAGTAAGCGATGACGAGTACATTCGTCAAAGATAGAGTATGTGTTTCTGTTATAATAAAAAATTAAGTTGTAATGAAATGACTGCTTTATTTTTTAACATTAATAACTGCTGTTGTGAAATGATATTGAGTAAAGCAAGGCACAATACATAATGGCACTTCGCAAATCGAACACCAACATCTTGATTTTAGAACTACATATTTTATTCGCACTGTATACAGTTTTTCCATAACAATTATTTATATTTTTCTATTTGTTAAACAGCATATTGCAACTACTTTTTACGCATGACGAATATACTCGTGACAACACAGAACCTTGCCATTCCTTCATGACAAGTATATTCGTCATAACACAAAACCTTCGCATTCTTTCGTGGTGAGTATACTCGTCAAAAACAATTAAATCGTTAAAAACGATGAACACAGGAACCGATCTGAAAACTTTTGAGCAACAATGTACGCGTTTAGATGTATATAATTACAGCCCACGGGACGCAGAAAATGCGGACCAGACAATGTGGAGAATATCCCTCGTAACAACGGTCTACGAGTTATCATCGGTCTCTTCAATCTTAATCGTTTCGCCGATAAAAACAAACGGCGCTACGGGGAGGGAAGCCCGGCGCAGCGCTCCCTAGTATCGCGTATGCATAAATGCATCACGGGGCATCGCGATTTCACGAATACGCGCGAAACACACGCTTCGGCTGAAGCGCGTTCGGGCCGCGACGATTTTAAAGGATTAATGCGCGGCGCGCGGTGTCTCGTCGTTTGCATTCATGAATAAAGAAATATCTCGACGGGCACTCCACCCATAAAACGCGCACAGTTATTTTAAATTCGTTCTCCCGCACAGGTCGCGTGCTCGAACACGTGTTTCGAGTATACGCCTCGGTTCGCTCGATACTATACGATTTTTCTCTTTCAGCGCATGGCCTTCTCGATGCCGTTGATCAAATGCACCGGTGGCTATAAGATCTGAGCAAATCGTACGTTCTTTTTCCATTTGGAAATGTTTCGACAGATCGATCGTATCGAGACAATCGTAAAAATCTGGTACATTATTTCTAGGTTTATGAAAATTTCATCTAAACTTTCTTTTTGGATCACCTGCCAGACTTTCATGCAACGTGTTTGTTCGTGAAGTAAATGATGTATTGTTTTAAGGAAAATGGTTTGTAAATTTAATTGAAATTTTCTTTTTAGGTCACCTACAATTTGAACGTATTTATTCGTAGAATAAATGTGAGTTCTGAATGAAATGGTAGGTATATCGTTGGAAATAACTACTCCGTTTAAGTGATATTTAAAATAGAGTTTCATTGGTGTGGATTTTATAAAATGTTAGAGTTGAAGTTTTGTAGCTAAAATTTGTTGTTATGTAATTTCCAAGTGAATGGCAGAGCTGTTAGGATAATCTCATTAACAACTGAAGTTTCTTTGTGCTTCCTATAAATCACATTTCAATATTCCATATTCTTAATGCAGCTTCTTTTTTGCCACCGCAAATAAAAATTTTCTTGACTGAACATGACATCATATTCTGGATTACATCAACAATTTGTTGCACCTGGTTACAATTCTAAGCGCAGAGCTTTAATTGTTACTGCCAGACTAAATTATCTGATAAGGGAATCAAGATACCACAGACTTATCAGAATTTAGTTATGTCACGATCGAATAGGCGGAGAAGAACGATGGAAATTTTATGATTATGTACCAGAGTTATTTGAAAGATTTTAATTTTTCTTATTTTCATCCAAGTGACGATGAATAATCGTCTCGCTGTACATTCTGTTTACGTTCTCAATGGTGACACAGAAAAAATATTGAGAACAATAGCGGGACACTACAATTGTGAGAAAAACTAACTTCGCGGAATTCCAGTTTCTTTAAAGAAAAGTAGTTCGTACGCGTGGAATAATCAGCGCGCAGGCGTACCGCTTTAATTATTGTGTTTTGCACCTTGTTATCAAGCCGCGGAAACACAAATTAATTAATCACTGTATCGTTTACAAAACTTATAAAAAATTTGGGTCGAAAACAATAACCAATAAATCGACAAATTATGATAATTATGATTACCATTGTATTAGAAATTGCCATTGTGAACAACATAAAAATTATTTATATGAATCACATATATAATATCACATGTAATAGCATCTCTGTAACGATTCTTATCGTGGAAATGATTCGTCTTAATTAATATGACCGTAGTAATTTTTAAACGTATATAAATGTAGTCTACTGATAAAATAATCCTAATGTCCAGTATCAATATCATAACAAATTCTATCCCTAATTATTACAATTATATTGCTTAATAAATCTACACCTTCGATTTTTTATCTTTACGATTCATTATTATTGTTCCTAATATCAACAAATTGTCATTACAATGACCAAGGATACTATGACTATCATCATAATGACCAACGATATTAACAATTTCCATAATGACCAATAATGTTACTGATTATCATTACAATGATCAACCATTTTAATGACTACAGTTATAATGATCAATGACTTCAACGACCATCGTCACAATAATTACCGCCTGCGATAATCACGGTTATTTTAATGATCATCACAAAATGATTAATGATGTCGACGATGACCGCAGAAATGACCCATAGATGACAAACGGATGCCAAGTAAAATGTAAGTGTTTATTCGTGTAATACGACTATTAAATCAGTTTATATACATTTGTATAATTAGACGTTTAGTTGATTAGCGATTATTAATTTCTACCGTTTATCGTCGCAACCGTGACTAACTCCAATGATTATCAACGCGAAGACCACCGATTCCCACGATCGTGATGGTCCCTATCTTCAGCTATCATAAATCATCACCGCAACGATTACAGAGTACTGAGTAACCGTAATCGTTACTTGTTTAATTCGATTAGATTTTGCTGAAACTCCGAGTTTCCAGCTTACAGTTCTGTCTCTCAAACGGTCAATTCAAAATACCCACTATCGATCACTGTTGCTCATTAAAACCGTCATTAACGGTGACTGCGCGTCATAAATTTGAAATGAATGCTAACAAATTATAAATGCCAGCTAACCTATACGTGCTGCGCGAAAGACAAATTTCCGGCGCGTGTGAAGTGACACGCACGAGGAGGAAGACCTATCGGAAAAAGATGATCCGAGATTAGCAGTTAACCGGGCAAAGTAAAAGTCGACTATCGGATTTCTCTACCGGGGCCGGCAGGGAACGTTTAAAATGTCAGCAAGGTCGAAACGCGGACCGAGTTAATTGGCGCATGAATGTCACGGCGGATTTTAATCGCCCAACGGCGTGCGGCACGAGATCACGAAAGACGCGCGATAAATTCAAGGTAAAGTTCGTATCAATGAAACAACTTCAAAGACCCGGCGATAATCCTCCCGAAGTCACTGTTTCACACCCACACGTTGTAACACAGCCGTAACGTCGCCACGGTAAACGAACCGTAGTATACGGATCCCTGATTTACATTTGCTAGACTATTAAAAAGAACACATAACGAAATATACCGTCTATTATCAGAAAAAAGATAGTGTCAACACTGGTCGATCGATAGTGCTGACGCATATACGTTCTACACGATCTAACGGTCCATTGATAAATCATGGAAGGTCAAATGAAGCAAACGGTTCGCATACAGTGCTAAAAAATTTGAAAAAAATTAATCGTACACTTACGTTACTCGTCAGCCTCGCTTCACAGCACAAAGATCGCGGTTCTTCCCGGAGGATTTCGTCGGCGATCACACAAGACGTCCCTTCGTCCGATCGTTCAACGTGCACAAACTACAAGATTCGTTTAACACACGCGTGTTCCGCGAAAGACCGAATACTCCGGCAGCTTCTCTCTACCTCGGCGAGGAGATCGAGACATATAACGGAGTACTTCTCTTGCCACTGTCACTGGAAACTTGTTACTCGAACCGTGACCGGCCGCAATTGCACACGATTCCGATCAAGGGATACGTATACGGGTACTACGACGACCGTGGAAAACGGAGAAAATTTCCAATCAGTGCGAGCTAGCCGTTGGGAAAACCACCCCCTGCAGAACCGGCGCCCCAACAGCCATGTGCCGCCCTAAACCTCCGCCCATTGGCCCGAACGAAACGTTCGAGGATTCCCGGTGTCTCAGGGAACCGTTTTAATTCCACGTGAATCGTGCGCGACGCGTTGCGAAGACAAGTTCGATACGTAACGGTCGGTTGTCGGTCGTCCGGTCTCTGTTACGTTATCATGAACGACAACTCTGCACGAGCCATCCCTGCGGGAGTTCACCGAGAAGGGGGAATGGGAAAAGGCCAACTGACAAGACGTCACGTCTCCCGGGAGCGCTTCGATCTCTCTGAACTCACCATATCCACCGCACAGCTGCCCGCGTGTCCACGCATAACACCGATGAACGCGTTAGGGCCCGCGGACAGCCCCTGATTCCAACGTCGTCAAACAGAAACGTGGAAAAACGTCAGCGAATGATTCACGCACCCGTGTACCGACTTCACCCGCGAATCGAGAAAATGGCGTTGTACACTCCCTCGCGGCCGCTCGCTCTAGCAATACCTCAAGCTACGCTAATTTCCATCGTTGCTTGCGAGCGCTAGTTCCTCGACGTGGTTGAACAGTAAACTAACGCGCGGCAGAATTGAAACGGCTTTTTCGGTATATAATAATTATCTTGTGTCTGCAAATTGTATATGTATTTCTAAAGTAAATTGTCGTAAACATTTTCCAATTAAGAACGAAGCAAATTGTTAGAGATTGTTATTTAAGAAATTGTTGTCAGAATGCGATATGTATTTGTTGGGCAAAGTGTTTTCCTGGAAAACTTACTCGTGGCGCCACTTCCCCGAGATGTTCTGTAAATGATGATAAAATGGAGCCGTCTACAAATTTATCCAAACGATACCGCGCAATGTTTAGCGACAGGTAGCTATATTGTTTACTATTATTTAATCCTGCACTGACGCGATTAAGAATTATTGATAAATTGGAAATAATTCTATAAGTCAGAAACATTTCATTTCATCATGGCTGATGAGTCTGAGCAAGTAAGGACATTGGTTTTGTTATTGTAAACTTAAATCTAACCTATTATAACCTAATTTGTATTTTCAATTTAAGGTTCCGGCGATAAATGTTAAAGAACCCTTGGATCTTTTAAGATTAAGTCTTGATGAACGTATATATGTTAAAATGAGAAACGAAAGAGAACTCAGGGGGAGGTTACATGTAAATATCCACTGTGCAATTTAAATCTATGTTTTAGTCTGTTTTACATTTAATAAATGCATAAAAATATTGATTACAGGCTTATGATCAACATTTAAATATGGTATTGGGAGAAGCCGAAGAAACAGTAACGACAGTAGAAATTGACGAAGAAACATACGAAGAAGTTTATCGTACTACAAAAAGGAATATATCAATGTTATTCGTCCGTGGTGATGGTGTAATATTGGTTTCTCCACCCAGCATGAGAGCTCCAATATAAACTTCCAATTTCTAAATAATGTTTGTAAATATTACAAACATATAACATAGGTTTAATCTTAATGTTACTGTAATATTATGACTTTTGTATCAGCATTGAGAAAACTTGTGATATAAGATTCAACAAAATAATAGAAAAAATCCTGTTGATAAGTTTTGTGAAAAGGATATAAATATAAAGAAACGATTTAAATTTTAGATTATACTTAAACGAACATACTAGCAAAAATTGAGAACAATAGATATTTTTGAAGTAAAATTGTTGAAACATCTTTACTGTATTACTTTAAGAAGTACTAACTTAATGATTAGCATATGATTTCAAAAGTGTACTATTAATAACAGTCTCTATCAGGTCTTGATGTTATAGAATGTTCTATAGGTTTTGGTATTTGTACAGAAAGATCTGCAATTCTTTGATCTTTAAACTTCATTAAGGATTCAAGATGAGTTATTTTTTGTTGAAGAGTGTTGATAACATCATTCTTCTCCTCTAATTCTTTTTTCAGTCGAACAAATACATGTCGTGGTACAGTTTTATTCGCTACTTCCTCGTCATCAAGTACAGACTTAACAATCTCTTTTCGAAAAGTAACGTGATTTAAGTCAAACGATGTTCTACACCATAAGCATTTTATAATACTTTACTTACCTCCTTTTTCAGTATCCTCAAATTCAGAGTATAAATCAGCTCTATCTGCGTTACAATCTCTTAATATTTTTTCTCGTAAAGCACTCAAAACTTGTTCGATAATGCCCGGTTGTGAATTAGCTAATTGGTTAATCACATCTTTCTTCAGCTTTATATTAAGTTTGGACAAAACCTTACGATTCAGAGTACACCAATTTTCCACCTTTTTCGCAATGCTATTTCCAGGTATATAATTGTGTATGTCAACGTGTCTAGGATAATATTTTTTTAACAATTCCGCCATAAAAACTAAAATTTATTACGTAATGTTTAAATATATTTAGAAAATAATATTGTCAAGTCAGAAATATATTTTCTTATACCACCGTCAGAGAAATCTCGAGAAAGATTTTTCTTTGGTTTTGAAAATGTCATTTGCTCGATCCAAACATAAATTTCCTCAAGATTATCATTAACTGTCGACGTCACACTCATGTTTCGATTTTATTACTAACGAGAAAATTAAGACAATGACTTCTTTATACAAAGAAATTTACGAATGACATTATGTTTTTATAAATTCACATTCTGTCAATCTACGTATTGCCAAACCTGATTAGAAAAATATACAAATGCTGCAGTCTCTTCTACTGCATGTGAACGTAACTTCATGTTACTCCCGTATTTTGGATTATCTGTTTCCAGGTATCACTTGCATCTTGCATCAAACAGTATAACGGTAAATATAGTGACACTAAATTTCCATGTATTGCATCGTGTATAATTGTTTTTTGAATGAAAACGTTAATAAAAAAGAATTTTATTAAAAATACATACAATTCATAGAATCGTAAAAAAGGAAAAGTAATAATAAATAAAAAGAAGTAAAAAAAAACAATGTCAGTGTCAGTAAAAAACGTATAATATATTTATTTATTAATCTAAAGAATCATTATATTCAAGTGTTCACAGTATTGAATTTATATAGATTTCAGTATTACGTTACCTCATAAATATTTAAGAATTATGAAATAAGATTAATTCCAATTTTTTTGTAATGACACATTTAGGGTAATGAAGGAAAATATAGAATTTGTATAAATAATTTTATCATTTTAGTGGTTGTGATATAACCGCAGCAAGCAAGCTTTTCCGTATCATGTTTCTGCGTTTTCTATATGTAGCTCTTTTACTTCTCTTGTATCACGGTTGATTGAGAACGTTGCATTTGTATTTTACATTCCAAGATAATTATTTGCAGAATTTACAATATAGCTTATCATGTAACTGCTGTATTAATTAACTATTATTAGTAAGCAATTTTTAAAACGATTAGTTTTCCTAGTATTAGAGTTGAAATCGTAAACATGTTTACGGATATTATTTTCATATTTTTATATTTAATTTTATTTACAAACTAATATTAATATATTTTAAATCTATTTTATACAATAGAATGATGAAATCTTTTTATTTTTCGCAACAAAAATTTCAAAACGCAATGGCAGAAGGAAGTTACATACAATCTACGCGCTTGATATTAAAGTATTCGGAAATATTACTTATTAACAGAATTATACAGTAAAATAATATTCTCTGTTAAATAACTTCATGCATCTCTAAATAACGATTAAATTACGGTAATCTTCTAAACATTAAGATGAAAACTTTACGTGTCGCTATTCTGATATAAAACAAATAATAAGCACAACTTCGTTATTCAGTTTTATAAGCAACACAACTGTGGAATTTTTATTAAACAGTCGTCCCAATTTTTGCGACTATTTTTACAGTTCCCATCAGTTACGTACACGCGCGGAAAATAATTATTCACTCGAACCGGATTTTTTTGTCTGATGTTATATGAAATACCGAAGGTTAAACGTTAAAATTTAGGATATCGTCTGTATATTTTACTATCGAAAATTTTCTTTGAAAGATTGAAGTGGAAAGAATTCCCGGAATCGATGACAGATTTGAACGTAAATAGTTTGCGTCACGGAGTTGAAAGTGGTGTAACACAGTGAATTCGAGCCTGCGTTCACGCGTGGTGTACGGCATGTATAGAAAAGGCGCACGCCCGAAAGGCTCGAGAGATCCGAAGCGTCTCGCTCGGCTTTAGTAGCACGTTGCACGAATGAGGAATCGAAAAGGAAGGACGGTAAAGTCCAAAAATAATTGTTTCCTAACCGATTTCTGATCAATCGAAATTAAAAAAGAGATTCGTCCATCGCGATTATAAAAATTAATCTTATCGGATAATCCGAATTGTACGAAGTTTGAAGTGACAGGTGGTTTCTAAGAAATCGTGCAGTTTCAAATTATTAATAGCATCGAATCGAATTTTAAAATCTAACTTCGAGGCACTGCTTTCGTAGAAATAGTGTTTTGACTAGTGAAATCGTGTTATCTTGGTCGTTGACCCGACGAAGCCATGACCGGGAAAAACATTTCTAAAGGTGAGTGAATACATCCCTTCCTAGTTAATATTCTTGGCATTATTGTGTTAATGATCAGATGTTTGGGAAACCAGGTAATGTTTGCTGTTCGTTCGTATCGAGGGTTTTATCGGTCTTTTCTCCTTTTCAACTGTCAACCCTGTGACCTCTAAATGTCCTTTGCTCCAGTCGTGACCCTGTAATCTCTGTTTCTTTTCTTTTTTGAAACCTAAAAAGTGATTATTGCGTTAGAATTGACTGTAAACGAACTATTCGTTGTCATTTATCTTTAAATATTAATTCTACAGTTTTCCACATGGTAATGTAAATATTTATTAAAGTATTATATAGACTGTTGTAATCTAATAATAAACATGCAAATTAGGTACCAACCTAATAGTTACCACTTTATTTAAAAATTTATTATTATAAATATTATTTATTATTTAAAAAAAGATTGTCTTCGCAGGAAATATTTCTTGTAATATGGAACTATTCAATAGCTGATACAAAATTCTGAATATGTTATGAATGCATAAACGTAGGTCTTTATGAAATATGAAATTTTCCAAAAGAGTTTTCTAAAAACAAGCATTATGCAATATGTGGTATTGCATTAAGAAATTCTATTTGAAAAAATGTATAGAGTATAATGTATAGTAATGATTGACTTCTATTTGGATATTATTTGATATAACACTGCAACCTTGTGCACTTTCTTCACATTTTTGGAATATTTGAAATATATTTACCTTATTACTATCTATGTAACAATTCGTAGTTAAATATGAGTCAAATGACTTCACATAATGAAAAGGTTCCGTATTATATATTATTCTACTAACATACAGTACAATACAAATAATACTTATAATGCTACAAATTTAAAAATAGATATATAGTTTCATTTGAGAAAATATCAATAATTGTTTTTTTTGAAGAGATATTTTTCTGTTGTCTTTTAAGCAATCATTTCTCGCTACGCGATTCCTGGTTACGTTCTGTTGACCATATTTTATTGCCAGATAATTGAAAGTATCAGAAAAATGGTGAGAACTGAATAATTATTATTATATTGGCTATTAAAAATAATATATAGGAAACTAATGTATATCATACTATTCAAAAGCATTTAATTGATTAACATCGTTTTAATTGTAATTCCACAATAATTGGTGAATCTAATAGATGATGTAATTTCAAAGACACATGGCGTTCATAAAACCGCGCTAGAGTCGACGTTGATGCAACTCCTTTGCAACCATAGCTGGTAATTATCGTCGTATTACGCTGTTATCACTTTTACACACTTCTATTAATAGAATATAAATTTCTTCTTGATGGATAAAATTTACATTCGCATACTGATTTGTACGAATTACATGCGTGATTTATTTTGAACTGAAATGCAAATTTATCGCCTAAATTGTATTGTCAATTGATCCTTATTAAACCCAGTTTCTTCGCCTTGGTCGTTGTATTTGGATGTTAGTTATTTGATCAGTGAGATATTCTGGAACTGCGGTTTATGTGCTCGTTGACCCATTTTTTGAACGAAGACAAACGCGCATCGTAAAAACACAATATTTTTATACAAATAGTAGTACGAGACAGTTCACCTCATCACATAAAGTGTTCGCAATTGACGTCATTAGTATCATTGAATGGAATAATGAGTAACTTTTGCCATATGCATTGAATATTATTAAGTAATAACATCCACTTACAATGACGAGACAATAATGAGAAAATAATATAAATGAAGCAGAATGAAATAATCATTAACCTTAATTATAAATGAGAATTTATGAAAGATTAATGTATTTTTATATCTCTAACTCTTCATCAAGATCCATTAATTAGAAATTAAAGAATGAAAGTTGCTTAAAATTACATCTCATTACTTAGAATTGATTAATTTGTAAAATTTCATTTATGTGAATATCGTTTAAGTGAAATGAATTACTAAATCAAAAAACGAAGAAGAATTTCAGGAAAATTATTTAAATTATCGTATACTTTATTTGATACGAGCTAATTGGCTCTTGTGTCGATATACTCAGAGTCAAAAACGAAATCAAGTCTACTTTTTTTGATACGTGGTATTGCATAATTTAATTACAGGTAGGAATTACATTTATATTCAATGGCAGTAAACATTTTTAATGCAGGTTTTATTCGTTTTTATGAATCGTTTCACAGGAAAGTGCATAATTGAATCGTGATATATACAATTAGTCACGTACGAACGCGCTATTTTCACTTACTCGTAATCCCTTACCTCGGACGCAAGAACAGGCGAAGTCGAAGATCTGGGAGCACGTTCACCTGCCTTCGTGCCATTCGGCACGTCCTCCGATCGTCTTCACGTTGCCGACACTACCGAAAATACCACTTTTCGCAGCCGTTAAACCTTAGCTTTTATTAGAAACGCGCCACTTTCTTTGAACTTTATATGTAAATTACCTCGTAACATCATTGCAAATCTATGCATATTTATAGTACATTCAAACGCGCAAAACAAAACGAAATGTATATTCTCACGAAGATTAATCCTTTCTTATATTACATTTAACGTATTCGCTATTATCGTCTTCTTTGTTACGAAAAACATTAAATTTTGTCTACTCCATTAATGATAGATAAACATTTAAAAAATTTAAGGACATAATAAGCATTATTAAGTAATAATTCTTGTTTAATGTAAATTAATACTTTTAATACTTTTTATGATAGAATTAAATTCTTCAATTCCTCATATATTTTAAACACTTTTCAGTATTATATACTTCTTTACCAATATCTACTTGTCTGATTTATTTTTCGTTTTATATATTTATTTTTCATAACGTGTCCCTACTTTATCAGTCTATTCATTCATATTTAAATTTTATTCACCTTTTTTGTACTTACAATATTCAAAGATAGGTAAAAGATTATTTTTAAATGTAATTTCAGACAGCAAAGGTATCGGGTTACCTGCACGGTACCTGATGGCAGTAATGGGTTCTATTGGGCTGGCTATTATTTATGGGTTCAAGGTAAATGTAAGCGTGGCGATAGTAGCTATGGTAAACCACACAGCTGTAAAGCAGTCTACGCTGCATGAAATCAAATCGGAGAATGCAACTGCAATTACAACGATGGATGAATGTCAACACGATGGTCTGTCTCTTAACACGACGAAAAATATCGTCGAGGTATACCAATTTTCACAAAAGTATCTTAACAAATGCGATTTCTATAATATATTATTTATAATTCATAAACCACTAAATCGATTTTCTAAACAAAAAAATAATTACCGAAATTTACAAAATCATTCCAAGCAATAACTATACAATAATCTAAAAATATTTAATACAGTGATACCGGATGAAAATAATATGTATTTTATGTAGGATGGTCCCTTTGTATGGAATGAACCATTGCAAGGTCTAATTTTGTCCTCATATTTTTGGGGATACATGGTATCTCTGCTTCCGGGTGGTAGAATGGCTGAACTATTGTCCGCGAAATGGGTAATGAATGGATCTGTACTTCTAAACGTAGTGGCGTCCATATTGTCACCTGTTGCTGCACAACTCCACTACTCCCTTTTCATTGTGATGAGATTCATTCAAGGAATCGGTGGAGTTAGTAATAATATCTTGTTCAACATCATCGACCAGCTATTTCAGTAAAGCGTGAAGTACACGAGTATTTCTATTGCAGGGTGTAACATTTCCTGCTATGCACGTTATGGTTGCTAAATGGGCTCCACCGAATGAAAGAAGTGTGCTCGCTTCAATCGTTTATGCAGGTATAAATAATAATTGTAAAATGTTCTTTCACCTGGTATTAGTTTTTTAGCAAAAATATTATTTCAAACATCCTTTTACTTTCTTAATTATTATACTTTTCTATTTATTAATTATTATGTGAGCCATTATTTTGTACAACTGTACTTTTAAATTCGTGGTTGGTTTAAGCATGTGACGTTGTTAATACATTTTTAGATTTATCTGTATACTAACAGTTATTATATATCGTCTTTGTACACTTTCTAACTCAATATTTTTATTAGTTTTTGTTTGATAAGAATTTTCCTTTCGACCTACTACTTTTGAGTATTTTAACTATTGAATATATTTTATTATTTTTCTATGAATATAATACGAATACATTTATGAATAAAGTTGTAAATTACAAAAATAGGAACCGCACTTGGCACTGTAATTTCTATACTGTTAACGGGAATATTAGCCGCAAATTTCGAGTGGGTGTGGATATTCTATATAGAAGGGGCACTCTGTTTAATTTGGTGTACTGCCTGGTGGATAATGATCGAGGACAGCCCGGAAAAACAAACGAGATTTATTAGCCAAGAAGAAAAGAACTACATCATGGAATCTTTGGGACATATGAAAGATGATAATGAGGAAAAACAGGTTCGATAAGTTCCATGAATATTAATATTAAGTATTAATACTGAACCTTTCCGGTATTTTAAACTTTAACTATTGGAAAACAGCGCAGATTTCTCTTAATCCTATTCGTTAAACCTACTCGCGCGATGTCTATAAACGTTTTCCACGCATCAATGACCACACCGGAACTGAAATAGATCTTAGATATAGTTATTTAGAAATGTTTTATCTTTTAGACGTTACTAGTACCATGGAGGGAAGTAGTCAGATCGAAACCATTTATGGCAATTTTAATTGCTCATTTCTGTAGTAATTTTGGCTGGTACATGTTACTCATTGAATTGCCTACTTTTATGAATCAAATATTAAAATTCGACATGAGTTCAGTGAGTATATATATTCAAAGATCAGTAACAGTTTCAAATTTATATTATACAAGTTAAACTCATTTATCTGCAGAACGCTGGACTTTCTTCTATGCCGTTTTTATGTATGTGGCTCTTTACTATGGTACTTAGCAAAACTTTAGCTATCATGCAGGGAAAGAAATGGATCACTGTTACGGTATCAAGAAAAATCGGAACATTATTTTGTAAGATTTTTTATTTATATTGTTCTTGTATATGGAACATGAATTTAATGAAATGTAAATTAAAATACGTTTTCTTGTACAGCATCGTTTGTTCCCATGATTTGCCTAATAGGAGTTTCATACGTTGGGTGTAATAGAGCATTAGCTGTCACATTAATGACTATTGGTGTTACTTGCATTGGTGGAATGTACAGTGGATTTCTATCAAATCATATTGATATTGCACCGAATTTTGCCGGTACTCTCGTTGCCATTACAAATTGCGTTGCTACTATACCTGGGTTTGTAGTACCAATATTTGTTGGAAAGTTGACGCATGGAAATGTAAGTAATTATATTGCAAAGAATTAACTATGCTACGAAATTCAGATTTGAACTTGGACTTTAATTAATAATCTATTAAATTTTGATCTGTTTATAGCAAACTATAGGAGCCTGGAGGATCATATTTTTCACAACTGTAGTATTGTACATAATAGAAATGTTAGTATATACTATTTTTGGAAGCGGTGAAGAACAACCTTGGAATAAAACTAAACCAACCGATGAAGAAACAAGTGATCAAACGTTACCGCTAAAAGAAGATGTTAAAAAATAAGTTTTTCTTAGACGCGCATACTGTTAATTTGTATATATAATCAAATTACAGTATTATTTTATGAACATTATATTTATGTATATAAAAGTTATTTAATAATTATTGTGTAACGGATAAAAATTCTTTGAACAATTATCGTAATGTAGAAAAATTCATTAAGGATATTTACATCGAAGGATTTTTGTATATTTATTGTATTTAAATTTCACTAATATTACGTTAAATGATAGTATATTAAATTTTTATAACATTAATTATACGATTACAATAGTATGTACATTTTATACACACATATTTTCGTATATTATAAAATTACTCACGTTTATTGTATCCTTTCGATTTTACAAAAATACATAGGTCCCCAATTGTTTTCATGCGTAGGAACAACAATATGACCATACTTCAGTCCTATATTTGCAAACTGGTATAAACATTTTAAAGGTGATAAAGCTTTTGACATATCTCTGTGAAAACCATATAAATAGGAAATACAGATAATACAAGTAATAAAATTATGTTCTACAATATAAATATAATATACATACTTCACAACCATAACAGATGTAGTTTCCTCCCAGACGTTTTTCAATGCTACTTGCACAACGCCATCATTTTGAATAGGACTAAGAGAACATGTTGCATAAACAACAGTACCTCCAACTTTCACTAGTTTTAGTGCATTCCTATTTAAAAAAAATAATAGTATAATAAAGATATTAGAATGAAAATAAAATACTATACTATAAATAAGTTTATATGTACACTTACATTAAAATACTAGATTGGACGTTTGGAAGATTTATCCTTTCCTTGAGTCTAGTAGGTTTAAACATATTATTTTCGACAGAATGTACCATGTGTCTATCCGTTGTACAAGGTACATCAACTAGAATCTGAAAAGTAAAAAATAATTAGAAACTTCATATGCTTGCTGTTGAAAAAGTATTCAAAATGAAATAAATGTTAATACTTTGTTAAACACATTTGTGTCATCAATATATCGAGCATCATTTTCTGTTACATATAACATATTTCCTAACTTGGAAGCATTCAACATATATTGTCTCACAACGTTATTTAATTTGTTTACTCTAGATTCCATAACATCATTAGCAACCAGTACACGTGGCATAAGAGTTTGTAAAATAGCTAAAGCTTTACCACCTGGTGCAGCACACATATCGAGCACAACATCACCTAATTTAATGTCAAGAGCTAAAACGGGTAATATTGATCCACCATCAAACAAATAATAATCTAGAACACAAAAATTCTATATTACTAATATTTATCTGTATGTATCTATCAGTAACAGATTATTTCCATTAAAATTGCAAAATATGAACCTAAAACACCAGTGGACCCCAATTTAGGAGATGGGAATCTGGTATAATTATTATCTTCAAAAGTATATACATGTAAGTGTTCTGGAAATGGTAAAGTAGATTCTTCAACAATATTTATCTTGAAGTCAGCTCCTTTGTTATAAAAATTATAATAATCAGATTCTAGCACATAATCATTCAAACCTGTAAAACAGATTTTCATACATGTAATATTTTGATTTATTTTTCATTTAATACAAATATTGTATTAATATTAACATTAAAATAGTAACCCTTTAATTTTGTAGCAGGCACATATTCATAAAGCATAGACTGGTCTGAAGATGATTGAATAAGACGATCATTATCAATTTCAATTTCATTTAAACTTTTTTCTATAGACTGTAATTCTACAGGTTGTAATGGCTTATTTGTTTCGATCAACGACTTGTTATCTTCTTCATCTTCCTCTGATGTTAATGATGTTTGCGAGAGAACATGATCATTAGGATAAAAGGATTCTAATTCTGATAATTGAAGGTTTTTTATAATATCATCCATTGGATTTTCTATATCCTGTGATAGAGTAGGTTCAGAGTTTTGGTAATTCTTTTCATCTTCTTTAAAAACATTGTACAACGATTTTAAGTGTATTGCACCTAATAACTGAAACAATCTTAATTATGTAACTTTTTCAATAATTCCTGTAAGTTTCATTAAGTACTTACTTGTAACTCTGTTTGTATTCTTTGTACATCACTAAAATTATTAACCACTGCCATATATTTAGTTTTCTCATCTAATAAAGCGGCTCGTATGCCTTCCCATGATTCCCCATAAACTGAGCCATAATACTCATCGAAATGATCCAATGCTTTATCTTTAGCAGTTTTCTTTTTCTTTAACACAGACTATAAAAATTGTTAAAATATTAGATGTTTAATAATTTTATTAGTTTTGAATAGAGAAATAAAACTTTACTTGCAATATTTGTATATATTAGCAATTTTATTCATTATTAAATATTAGAATTGTTATATATTTTTGTAATTTCTTTTCTAAAATATTTTGCACTCTATTAATACAAGGTTATTAAACTCTAATGTGTTTGTTCATTATAAAAAACCTTGTACTATTTTCATATCCACTATTGGTGCTGTTACAATAAAACAATGTTTTTCATCACGAAGTATAATTATTAAACTTTTTTTATGTAGTCTTTAAAATTATTGATTATATAACTTTCCATTAATTATTACTTGAAACATTATCATTTTAAGTGCAAACACTATTTTATAGTTTTTGCTTTTTTGTATTAATTACCATGTACAAATTATGTATTACAAAATAAATTCCATTGTTATTAATTCAATTATGAATTGTGTTTTGTTTTAAGGAATAATGATTTTTGAAGTCAAGTTAGTGGCCTTCTTTAACAATAAACTATTTAACATAGAAATTAAAAGCAAAGTAGAAACATAAATGAAGTTTATAAGTAGATAAATAAAGAAAAAAAACTTGTCAAAATTTCACACTCGTTGGATATGTTTACAAGATCAGATAAAAGATATACACAAACTTTCATTCATAATAACAGGATACGAACCCAATGATTCGGTCCGTGCTTGTATCTAATCGATATTTTTACTATCTCCTTCAATTTCAATCCGGCCAGTAAATGTGCCATTCTGCAGTGACAAGTAAGTTTCTTTAAAGGATCATAATTATGTTAGGTTACATCGATATTCCAGTAAACCGAAAACAGAAAACGATAGGCGGCAAAGCTCGTTGCGGCGTATTGCCACCGGATGGCGTTACCGATGCATTCGTACATCTTTTAAACGCAAGAAGTGGTCGACGTCGATTAACCGTTAGCGAGAACGGTGTAAAAGAAGAAGGGCGTGAACCGGCGTGAACTGCAGACACAGGTGAAGCAGGACAACCGATGAATCCACCCGTTACGGTACTACCGGTACTACTTGACTTAATGCTGGACGTCACGTCTTTTTTTCTCTCTTTCACTCTTTCCCCTTCTCTCTTCCCCCGCCCTACCCCCCTCACTTAGCTTAAACGCTTATTTCTGCGTGTAGACCTTTCTTTTCCTACTTCGCCGACTTTCTTTATCGCGAGTCCAGAGTTCCCCATCGACGAAAACAAACCGAAAACAGGTATATCGCATATACATAATATACACAATACGTGTATCGGAGTCTACATCATTATCAGATACGAGCACACGACAAGGAAGCGACACGTATTTGTCGTGACATCGAGATGAGAAACGTGCCGTGGCAAGATGGAACGAACCGAAGGGGGATGGTGGGGATCGGGGACGGACACATCTTTGCGCTCCCCTCTTGCGAAGGCACTGGTGCGCTATGAAACGTGGCTGTTTCGAAAGTTCCAACTCGGAACAACCTATTTTAGATGCTATAAACCGTTCCGACTTTAAAATTGTTTCGGGCGGCGGGTACGGACCCCCTGTACCCGAACAATGGGTCCCTGGAATGGACATGCCCTGTAAACCTCCAAGTATTCCCTAGTGATTTACGATACGTTAAACGGAACGGAATCTAAATCGTTCGTTCATAGGATTCAAATATCTATTCGTTTGAATTTTGTCATTGAGGGGATCTACCTTCAAATCATAAGATCCCTTTACTTATACGACCATAATCGTAATAGCAATTTTAAAAAAATAAAATTTCGAGCGATCCGTATACTTCGCGTCGACAATGCGAACGCAGCCGGAGCGAGGCCCGCGACGCCGATAATCTTGTTACCCTCGAAACGCGTACAACATATATACCCGGTGAAAGTCTCCACTGTACGGTAGACGTGAGTTCAGTGTTCTTGAGGGGAACGAAAGGAGAACGTCGCGCAGGAGATCAGCTCTTTTGCTTCGTGGAGATCAGCTAGTCCATGGGGTGCGGTAAACCCTATTGGCCCCCGCGTGTATGTGCATACGGACACGCGTACACGAACGCAAACACAAAGCACGTATACACGCGGCACACGGACGCTTTCGTGTGTTTTCCCCCCCATTGTCACACGCATACAGAAAACTCTTCCTCTCGATGAATCTCGACGACCCGAATCGCTCGACGGCGAGGCTGGTTTCGTGGATCTCTTCATGAGAGGCACGTCGTACGCGATTTGTCGGGGCACGGGGTGTGACGGGGACTCGAGGCATCGTAAAGGCAATGCACTGTAAGGAGCTCACGACGACTATACCCTCCTCCCTCCCCGCGACCGCCGCCCTCCCTCTCGATCTTTTGCCACCGTCCCTTTCTCTCCCTTCTTTCTTCGCCCCCTCTCGCTCCCACTACCTCACTCGCTCTTACTCCTTCCCCGTCGTTCTCTCTCCCTTTCTTTCCCTCGTTCCGTCTCTTTCTCTCTGTCGCTCTTATCAGAGACTCGACTGCGCGACCTCACTCATACTCTCTCTCGTTCTATTGCTCGCTCGACTGATCTCTCGAGGAGGGCGCGTTAGGGCGCTCCGCCGGCCACTCCGCGCGCATCTTTAAACGTTTCTTGATCCAAGCGTACATACCCGAAAATTTCATCGACACCGAGGACCCGTTGTCCCCTTACCTGCCGCCGCAACCACCATCATCACCCCCCACATTCCCCTCGTCCAACCTCCCTCGGGTCCGTTCGCCACGAGTCGTTTTATTCGTCTCGATCTTACCCCGTATCGAAAACCGTGTCATCGAAGCGACGATCGCGGTGGAAAACAGCGAGGGCAAAGGACTCGGAAGTCGCGACATCCGGTACACAATACTGCCGCTTCCTGTCTCCCGTGACCCTTGATCCCCACGTGACCCCAGTTCCACGTACGTAATTTTCATTTGACACACGTGTGCGGGGTCCCCTCTAGGTACACGGAATGTGTTAAACGTGTTCTCACTTCGAACCCTTTTCCGAGGACCGTGTATCGAGTCCCGAGGGGTACGCGATAAGAATGACCGTGTTGTTCGGGTCTGCGGTAACCTATCATTACCATGAATCGAATGGTACTTTAAATTCGTCGAACGGGTGGGCTCGTCTTTGGAAACGGACTTCGCAGCTCCGAAGATACCAATAAGAAGACTTTCTTGATAACGGTATCAGTGTATTGTATCGAGAATTAAGAAACCAACATTGGTTCGACGTAAATTTCACATGCTGTAATGCACTTTCAAATTTGTGAGGACCAGACACACTTCTGTTTGCCCCTTGAAAAATTCTTGAACCTTCCCAGTATTATCAGGGGCGTGAGAATGTACCCGGTTCCGTGTGTTAACCGGGAGTGTATCAGTCATCGTAACAGATTCCTTACAATGGGTGGTTGATTCCTTTCTAAATCTCCGCGTTTCCCCGCGTCGTTGATGGACGAACCGCGGATACATTCACCGGGCCGATGATTGTTCGGCGGTGAACACACGTGGCGGCGCTGTTGGAAAAAAGAGGAGAAGCAAAAGGAGGAAGGGGGGAAAAGGACGAAATACGTACGCTAGAATAAAAGAGAAGAAATCACTCCTGATTCCTTAGTTCTTTTTCGTTGTCACCGTCCTACGCTCCGTTCCCGCACCGAGCCTCCCGTCACGTGCATGCATGCGTGCATGCGTACACCGCGAGCGGAGAGTGCGTACATGCGGGGTCGTTGAACGAGCAGGGGGTACCGAGGACAACAGTAACGACTGCACCAACCCACTTACGTCGACCCTATACAAGTCACGTGCACGTACACTGCTCGGCAATAATGGTCCCCAGAGGGTGTGACCTATTCTATATGCTGGATTCTCTCGCGCGATCAGCCTACTTGCTGGTACCAACGTGCCTTGGTACCCGGTGTGTCTCCCGTGGAGAACTTCGAATAACCCGTACGAAATGCCGGTTATTAATTCCAAAATTTCGACATTGTCGCCTATTCCTGGCCGCGCGATGCGTTTCGACGCATCGGTGACGGTCCGTTATTTCGGCCATCGTAGAATTTCGCCGCAAGAAGTTATATCAGCGACGTACACGCTGTCGCTGCAACATTCGGGGCGCCTCTTGATCTTCAAAGAGAACGACGTTCGTTATGGATTAATGAAGTTATTAGGTAATTTTTGAGGAATATTTGGAGCGTGGAATGTTTTTGAATTATCTTATTTGCATATGGAGAGATTTCAGTAAAAGGATTGTATGTTTCAATTGTGTGAATAGCAGAGCTGCTCGAATCTTTTTTAAGATTGTATACATATACGATAATTTACAAAAATCAAAAGAAGTTATATTATACTTTTATGAGTGTTTTGAATATAACTTTCGTTCATTAATGAAGCGTTTCTCCAACTTTTTTGAACTATTTTTAAACGGAAAATATTAACTTCAATCTTCGTACTTCCATATAACTTTTTTTTCCAATTACTTATGTTGGGAAAAGATTAAACTATCACATTGAACCCTTTTTCGAAATCAATAAACACGAGTTTACACTACTAATTTATACGTCGTATAGTTTTTAAATACTCCTCTATTTTCTTTATATAATATTTCTCGATTAATGTTTCAAATAGAATTCATCTTCGAATCATAGTTACAAGAAATAAATAATGCAATTTGATAATTGAACTTCAGTAAAATTTAGAATTACGAATGAAATATTTGCTTTAGTAACTCCAACCCTTCCAGTTTTAAGTTTTACATTATCATTTACGTATTACACACAATTCGTATTACACAATTCGTACATGTTCCCTTTTCGACCGACAATGGTTCCTTTACTTTCGTAAGTGGCAGATGATTCCAAATTTTTGTACCCCCATATAACCGTGCTCCTAAGACAAAAGTTCGAAATTAGAGTGGCACGTGTTATTCTCGGACAGGTAACAAATTAAAACCGTTGAAGCTCGTCGAAATAGTAGTAAATACGGGTGCTTAAATAAGGGAAACGATACCAAATATTTACGGGCTCATTTGGCGTTGACACTTCGTCGCTAACACCTCTATCCACCGAACGTATTCTAGACGAATTTAGCGTGGTGTGCAGTCACGCTCGTCCAAATATTTTGAGCCCCTGACACCGAGATATTCTCTCTCTTCGGGATTGCGAAATACGCGGCTTGGACGGAGCCGGACGATGTACGAGGACGAAAGTAGGTAGGTAGGTAGGTAGGTGGGCAGACGGAAGTCAGTTTAACGGTATCACCCGAGAGCTCAGTCAGGCTTCGATCCTTACGCGTGGAATGGGGTTCAACGAAATTCGTAGCTTTCTTAAGCCGCTCTTCTTCGCTCAGCGTTCAGAGTTATTTTCTTTTTTTTTTTACGATCGACGCCCACTGGCAAAAACTTCGGTGAAAGACCAAGGAATTTTCGAGTTGCTTCAGGGACTACCACTGCGACTGCTCTCGAGACACAACGCCCACAATTCGAACAAAGCTAGAAAAAGGAATGTAAGGTCCAGACTGTTTTTCAATATCTTCAAACCAGACGGCACGTAATTACATTTCCTTTCAACTTGTTTTTATTACCAAATAAGGTCTACAATATTCTACCTAGTCAGTCAGAAGTAGAACGATACAATGTACAATGTACATTTCTGCAAAATAAATTCGATCCATCGTCGAGACGAAAAATCGTATCACTTTAATACCCAGCGTCTCGATAATTGCCAATTGTTCTTCAATTTCCGAGCTCACCGCAGTTTCTTTAAGTTCACGGATGTAATTAAACCTCAACGCGCGAACGACATCGGGACCCTAAACGGTTCACGGGGTGAAGAGCATTCCCAGGAATGGTACCCGGCTTCTCTTCCACGGGGTTGCTGGGGAACGGTGGTCGTCGGG